CACAAAAACTTTTTGTGGAAGAGTGAATGCACACCGCTGTGTGCATTTATGTAAGGGAGCATTCACACTGCTTGGACGCTCTTGTGCAAGAAAGCTCTGACAGCCATTCACCTGTGCTTTTCCCACAGGGGTTTCTCGTGCAAGAAACCCCTGTTCTCCATCCGCACACGCCTCTTTGTGCAAGAGCTCTTAGGAAGAGGACTAACTCTTGCACTATAAGCCCTCTCTTCTGACAATCGACCATTCTTCTGGTGCAAAAACGTGCTGGTAGGGTTTATGATTGGGAAGTTTTGGTGCAAAAACTCTGCAGTGCAGACGTCTGGGAATCCAGCTTGCAGCTCCCCTCCATTTCGCCCCCGCTCTAACCACTAGACCGCACCAGAGGTGGAAAGTACCTAAGTAGAATTACCTGGGTACACGACTCAAGGACATTTGTTCGATATTTTCACTTGACTCCCGTCATTTGTGTTTGGGAAACTTCCACTCTGACTCAAGTAGCTTTTCTAGGGACTCTTGGACTTTACTTCACTCCCATTTCCGGGCGCGTTGAGTGACTCACGACTTTCTGCGCCCCACTGACAGTGGGGCAAGCCCACACTCTGATTGGCTAAAGTGAAGCTTATGGGAGGATTTTCCTGCTGCTCCCATTGGCCAAATTTTGGCAAATGGGAGCAGCAGGAGTGGTAGGGTGTGAGAAGCTAGCTAAGCGACCCCCTCCTTCCTCATGGCCAGTCCATGCACCCCCATCCCTCCCCTGTGCCCTCTTTCCTGCCAAGCCCTTCTGGCCCCGGTCTGCTCCTGCACCCTCGCACCCCACCCTCAGCCTTCTCCTGCACCTCCCTCCCAGCACCCTGCCCCCCACCAGACCCCCATCCCAATCCCCCTCCCTGGCAACCCATCCTGCACACTGAACCCCTCAATTTTCCCTCACCCCAGAGCCTGCCGGGGGCTCACAACAGCTGCTCACCCTGGACCCCAAAAGAGTAAATCTGCCCTGAAGCTTGGTCCTCCCTGCCTCCTTTTCCCCTCCTCCCCAGCTTGGGGCCGGTCCCCCATCCCATCCCCCACCCCCAGTGACCTCACACTGCTGCAGGTACCGCCCCCATCCCATCCCCCATCCCCAGTGACCTCACACTGCTTCAGGTACCACCCCATTTCCCAGCTCAGCCCGGGGTCCCTGTGGATCTCACAGGAGAGTCCCCGGGTTGGGGAGCTACATGGGGACCTGATGGGATCTGAGCGAGCCAGCCCCTGAAGCAGCTTTAGGAGCAATCGCCCTGTGCCTCAGTTTCCCCATCTGCACAATGAAAATGATGATTCTGCCTGTCTGTTTTGGATGCTCTTTGGGGGGCAGATGATGGGTCAGGGCAGTGCCTGGCACCACAGGGGGATCTCGGCTGTGGGGCTGCCCCATGGCAAATGAAATCAGTGTACTAAGGAGGAAAGGGGACCATGCGGGTGGGGAACATCTGACTTGGGGCTGCGGTGGAGGCAGAAATCTCTGGGGGGCTCAGGGTTTGGAGGGCTCAGGGGGTGAGGCTGGTCCAGCCCCACAACCCCTCCTGGCCCGGAAGCCGGTGACTCCGGCTGGCAGCCTGCAGAGAGCTGGGGGGTGTTTTTAGCACCTGTTGCAGGGCTGAGCTGTGTTAGCCACATTCCCAGCAGCAAACAGCAACACCCCACACCCCGTGGTGCAGGTGTGACCAGCGGCTTCCCCACGGGCTATCTCTGCTCCTGGCACTGGGGAGAGGGGGGGGTTGTTCTGAGCAGGTGTCCATGTGCCTCAGTGGTTCCAGGCCCGGCCCTGTCATGGGCGCTTCCACGTGGTGACAATCGGCTTTTACCCGGAAAAAGCGCAACCGGTGACGTGTGATGGTCACACTGGGAATCCAGGCTGGGATCCCCCGTTCTGAGCCAACCCAGCCCAGGGCACAAAACCAAACGCCCCCACCCCCACCCAACCCAGCACAGGGACCCGGCCCGGGAGGTGAGCACAGGGGCGATTTTCAGGCACCTCGGGATCTGGCTGGGACATGGGGTTGGTACGTCCAGCCCTAGCTGGAGGGAAACTCGCCCCCAGCTGAGCAGCCTGGTCTCCAGTGATGAGTTTGTGAGGGTATGTCTACACTACCCTCCTAGTTCGAACTAGGAGGGTAGTGTAGACATACCCTCACAAACTCATCACTGGAGACCAGGCTGCTCAGCTGGGGGCGAGTTTCCCTCCAGCTAGGGCTGGACGTACCAACCCCATGTCCCAGCCAGATCCCGAGGTGCCTGAAAATCGCCCCTGTGCTCACCTCCCGGGCCGGGTCCCTGTGCTGGGTTGGGTGGGGGTGGGGGCGTTTGGTTTTGTGCCCTGGGCTGGGTTGGCTCAGAACGGGGGATCCCAGCCTGGATTCCCAGTGTGACCATCACACGTCACCGGTTGCGCTTTTTCCGGGTAAAAGCCGATTGTCACCACGTGGAAGCGCCCATGACAGGGCCGGGCCTGGAACCACTGAGGCACATGGACACCTGCTCAGAACAACCCCCCCCTCTCCCCAGTGCCAGGAGCAGAGATAGCCCGTGGGGAAGCCGCTGGTCACACCTGCACCACGGGGTGTGGGGTGTTGCTGTTTGCTGCTGGGAATGTGGCTAACACAGCTCAGCCCTGCAACAGGTGCTAAAAACACCCCCCAGCTCTCTGCAGGCTGCCAGCCGGAGTCACCGGCTTCCGGGCCAGGAGGGGTTGTGGGGCTGGACCAGCCTCACCCCCTGAGCCCTCCAAACCCTGAGCCCCCCAGAGATTTCTGCCTCCACCGCAGCCCCAAGTCAGATGTTCCCCAAGGCACTGCCCTGACCCATAATCTGCCCCCTAAAGAGCATCCGGAACAGACACAGGCAGAATCATCTTTTTCATTGTGCAGATGGGGAAACTGAGGCACAGGGTGATTGTTCCTAAAGCTGCTTCAGGTGCTGGCTCACTCAGCTCCCATCAGGTCCCCAACCCAGGGTCTCTCCCCCGCCCCACAGCCGAGATCCCCCTGTGGTGCCAGGCACTGCCCTGACCCATCATCTGCCCCCCAAAGAGCATCCAAAACAGACAGGCAGAATCATCATTTTCATTGTGCAGATGGGGAAACTGAGGCACAGGGCGATTGCTCCTAAAGCTGCTTCAGGGGCTGGCTCGCTCAGATCCCATCAGGTCCCCATGTAGCTCCCCAACCCGGGGACTCTCCTGTGAGATCCACAGGGACCCCGGGCTGAGCTGGGAAATGGGGTGGTACCTGAAGCAGTGTGAGGTCACTGGGGATGGGGGATGGGATGGGGGCGGTACCTGCAGCAGTGTGAGGTCACTGGGGG